AGGGTGGGGGACTTGGAGTTCAGGAGGGTATCGAAGAATCTCCGCCACCGCTTGAGGATGGCATTCTTGTTCCGGAGCAGCACGCCGTTCTCATGTGTAACGAACTGCTGCCTCCCAGCTTCTCTCCCGCTGAGGCCCGTTGATCGCTTGAGGTGTTGGTACAGCCCCCGCATGTCGCGGTCCTGGTAAATCGCTTCGAGCTCCGTCACGTACCCTTCCAGGTGGTCGTAGACGCTCGTTGCGATTGTTGCCTTCACCCCCTTGCACGCTGCTTTGAGGATCCTCCACGTTGCTGCGTTCGGTCTGGCCTTGAAGGCATGCCGCGCCGCCCGTCGCTTGTCAAGGGCGGTCGCCAGGGCTGCCCGTGCCGCGGCGGTCATGTTGCATTCCGGGGTGCGCCGCCTCCGCGGTTCCTCAAACAGCTCCGTCTCCGCCGCGCCAAGCAGGGCCTCCGTGAACTCCTTCGCCATTTCCTGAGCGGTGGTCGCCGGCGCGCCCGACCTCGCGAGCAAGTTGCAGAGAAACCGTTGGGATACAGCCCATCGCGCTGCCTCGACCTGCAGATCCTGTCGGTTGAACTGCCGCCGTTTGGGGTTTGTCCGGATAGATCGGTTGTGGGCCAGCCGGCCATCGAGGTCGACGGTGGCTACTACGATGTTGTGGTCTGAGTCCGCTCTGACTGGGCGCACTGGCTGAGGTACGACCTCCATGTTGGACACTCGGCCGCGGTGTGATTGGCGCGTCAGGATGTAATCGAGGCACCTACGTTCGCGTCCCGACGGGCCGTTGAACGTATGCCATATCCCGCTCCTCCGTGTGTCGAAGAAGGTGTTGAGGACCGCTAGTCTGTTGTCTGTGGCGAAGGTCAGCAGCAGCCGACCGTTGTCGTTCAGCTCATTGCGCCCGTACTCGCCCATGGTTCTTTCGTTTTCCCCGGCTATCCCTCCTCCGGTCTGGGCATTGGCATCCATGAGCACGAAAAGATACTCCTTAGCGGGGATACGCCGCACGAGACTGTCAAGTTTTTCCCAGAACATGCGTTTACTGTCGGCGGTGGCGACGTCTGTTGGGGCATACGCAGCAACGAAGTTCACCGCTCCGCGGTGGCCCGTCATCTCAAACCTCATAGCCATGAGGCGCTCGTCAACGTACTCCGTGGTGTACTGGGAGGCCTTGCACAGCGCCTCCTCCACAGCGATTCCGACGCCATGCGTACCACCCTTGTCCGTGCCACAGGTGAACACCCGAAAACCGGATGCTGTGAACTCCGTTCGCCCTGGTCTCCTGACCTCCTGCAGACCGACAAACGAAATGTCCTGTTTCGCTGCCTCGTGTAGGACCTTGTCGGCTCTCCCATAGCCGTTGGCCCCGTTCACGGCCAGTGTACGCACATTGTAGGTTGCTACCCTAACAAGTCGACCCTGCCGCCTCTCCCGGGCGGTGCGTGCTGCATCCCTAATCAGCCTACGCACCTTCCGGCCCCTCCTCCTCTTCTTCCTTCCTTTTTTTATTTGTTTTTTTCTGATTGCCCTGCGGATCCTCGGGTTAATGTAAGAGTTAACCCGGTGCTTGCCTTTCCCAGCGAGGTGTCTTCCTGTCCCGGAGCGGCGTGGCTCTCCAGCTCTGGACCCTTTCCGTCCCCCTGTTGGGTGCTTACCCACACGGTGTGGGATCATCCCGCCACCCTCGCCGTGCTCTCCACTGCTGCCTTGCCCCGGCGTCCAAACCGGGGCATTTGGGTTCAAACCCATCGG